AATGTCTTGGTATGTATTTGTTGACATTAGGCATTTGTGTCACCCATACAAAGGTTGTTCACAAACTCAATAAGGAATTACCGTAGGGAACAATGCCGTTTTCTTTGAAGTAACCTAAGCAAATCCCTTGTACCGGCCTCCTCAAACTAATCTAATAATTACTCTACATGATTTCAAGAGTGTAGATGGTTATGGACTATCATTACATATATTAGAGAAGCTAGTAATTTGAGTTCAACCACTATCCTACATGCATATATGGAAATAATGCATCATGTATCGAAGAAATGAAAGTAAGGTGCATCAAGGGTGATTACACAAAACATATTCCGCTTAAGTTTTTATACTATCATCAATAATAAATTCTCCTTAAAATTCAAGTGAATCAAATAAGATATAGGAGAATGTAACAAATTTTCTTTACCAAATGCTTACCTAAAATCATATTTGGGAAACATGTAGAAAGTATTAAAATGCAGACATTTTCTTAAACTCCCTTCTTGTTTTTGATTGTTGAATTACATTGTTACTTGATCATATTGGGATTAACAAGAGTCTATTATGTGTAATATTGGTATGTTGTGTTATTTCCATCATACATTGTCTTATTTTTTTCCATTGGGTTTTGTTCCTTGGTGTAAAGTTTCAGTAAGACAACAGTTTATATATCATCTTGCTTTCGTAACTCTCATGATTAATGTATGAATATGAGAGAATATTAAACTAAAGAAAATTCCATGAATTGCAAAGAAATTGATGCGTTATACTATTCTTTCGTCGTATATATTTTTTTCATTGGGTTTCTAACGATACAACAATTGTGCATCATCACTTCTTTAAGTGTGCCATCATCTAAAAGATATGACGATAGAAATAAAGATAAATATATCAAAGTTAGATTAGAACTAAAATATCTCATATTTATATATACTTGTAACTCATCCATGTATAAATGACTTATAAGTAATGAGAATTACAAATTTTTTTTCTCTATTCTATTTATCCTATAACAAATAGTAATATTTTGTCTTTTTGGTGTAGGACAGTGCACGAACTGGGGATAAAGATCAGTTAGAAAAATGTTTTGAAAGAAGGTTTTTGATATAGTGAGAGGTTTTCGAGAGTTTTTGGTCCGAGGTTTACGACATGCTTTTTTAGAAATTTCTTGCTTTTAACTTTATAGAATTTTATAACATATTAAATCAATTATATCTATTAGTATAATGAAATTAATATATTAAATACAATTAAAAGTAACAGCATTCAATAGGGTGACAATTTTATACAAACCAAACCAACCAACATGTGTATCAACCAACTTAATTTGTACCGATTATTTTCGATTGGTAGTACCACATCAAGTATGCAAATTTAGTTGATACATGGTATTAAAAGTTGCATACCATGATAATATGATGGTACCAACTTAATTAAACCTTGTAACTTTAATTATTTTATTTAAACATTTATATATTTACAAGTTTTATTTATTACAATTAAAACCATTAAAAATAACACGTGTTATCTGAAAACTTAAAGTTTCACTTAAATTTTGAAAAAGATTTGGCAAGTAACGAAGGTGTTGGAGCTACAGTTTATTGCACAATCATCCCAGGTTCATAATAGTACCCATTTTGTCTTTTGATGTTTCGAACGCCAGGTCGAGTACTCATCTTGCATGGAACCGAATTCGACCCACTAACCCGCAACCCCGATGTAGTTTGTATTGTAGGTAAGAGATTATCCCATTGTAAGGTACTTTCTTGTGGCAAAACTCATTACCCTGTCAAAATCAAGTTTTTTCTGTGAATCAGAGCGATTGCGAGTTGGGGCTATTGATTCAGCTCACACAGGATGCATGCGAGTGATGTGGTGGAATTGATCCGAATGGCAACGAGAACTAGTGGTAATACGATGCTTGGAGCAGAAATTGAATTTGGATCGGCGATGTTCTACGTTTATGCCGGCATCTCATGCTTTCTCGTCCTCTTTGCCGGCATCATGTCTGGACTTACATTAGGTTTAATGTCACTTGGCCTTGTGGAGCTCGAAATCCTCCAGCGCAGTGGCACCCCAATCGAGAAAAAGCAAGCAGGTTAAATTTTGATTCTGAACTTAACAATAAGGTTAATTGTTCATTAATCTAACTCTATTTCTTTAATTTTTATGTACGCCCCACATGATTAGTACCACTTATTTGTTTATTATTGCCCTTGTTCCAAATTCCATAGGCATATCGAATCTTACCGTTAATTTGCGAGACTATTTGAGGTTGTGTTTATTTCATTGCTCACCAAGGAATATAAATACAGAGGAGTCCTACATAATTCTGTGAAAAGATTCACAAAGATCTCATAAAAGAAGGAAGGGATATGCATATCAATACCTAGATAACTATGGATGGCAAATTGGATAACTATGGAAACGCGAATTCCTTCACTTGCAAGTGTAATTCCTTTTGGGATCCCAAGTGTAGATTATCGATGGACAATGGTTGAATGGAATAAAATTAAATTGGCCTGTACTAATTTGACTTTTAAGATTTCACCAAGTGACTTTAAGTAAATTTATATGCATAACCAAAGCTAGTACAAAGTTGTACTCCCCTGGTCTAAGAAGAAGTCACTCATCTAAATTTCTGCAGTTAAAATATCACCTTGGAAGAGTTAAAGTTTCAGTTTAAGGGAGACATGGTTGCATATCAAACATGTATTATATTTGAAATGGGTTACTACATGAAAGTTCAGTAGTTTTATGACCAAGAAGGGACCCAACAAAGCTACATATGTGCACATATTCTTAAACATGGTTTTATAGATCAAATATTTATGATCTTTGAAATGGGCATGCTACTTGAAGCTTTAGTACTTGTATGTCATGAAATCAGGAAACTACATGACTTTTTATGCTTATATTGTCTTAAGATTGAGGTTGTTGAACCTAAATATATTATTTGCTTGAGGTGACTCATACATTGTTAATTTATGGTAGAGTGCCTTAAATTTTTGGTGTAACGAGTGACTCATTAGAGAAACTGATGTTTCAGATTGTGGCATTGCATTTACCATTTTGTATACTTATGCTATTTTCTTTGACAAAAGAATTCAGTGTTACAGTTGGTGTTATTGCATTTTGTTACAGCTCCCTCCCATGATTATCAACTCGATTCTTAGTAGGTTTGTTAGGCTATAATCCCATTATTAGAAGATATCTCACTACAGTAAATGTCAATTTAGTCATCAGATCTATTTTCTTGTGATGTTTGTCTCTGTGTCTCAGATGTTTCTTGATTACTTAGATGCAGGTGTCTCCTCTGATCCTCCTCCTATTACTGTCTATAGTCGACAAAATCAACATTTGTAACAGCAACGAGAATTCAGCTTCATCCGAAGCCTGTCCCTTCGTGTTCCTCCTTTTTCGAGTGAAATGGATTCTTCACATAATTTTAACCCTAGTTGTTGATGTTCACATATTCTTTAGGGTATACACTGGTGTTATTTCTTCATGTTGAATATAATGTGTGTGTGCATGTGTATATGTATCTTATTTTCTTGTGCGTGTTTACATATACACTTACATTTAGTTAATATGAGGATCAAGTCAATATAAACCTTCTGGGCTCAAATTCTCGACCTTAGTAGAGCATGTTTGATCAAATTAGATTTTAGAGTTCACAAAAAAAATACTTGACTATAAATCTCCAAAAGTGATTTCCTAAAAGATTGATAATAGTGCCATTCATATCGTCCTCTGGAAACAAATATTTTGTCAATTTTTATGAACTCTCCCACAATGAAGAAGTTATGGGGCCGTCTTCACTATCTTTTGGATCAAGAACTTATTACATGTATTATCTATCATAATCAGACTCTAGATATGAATTGAACTTGGTGCTGACCGTTGTGTGTCATGACACCAAATCGACAATTAGCACCAAAGATTTATTGATTCATTAACTGACCAACTTTTGAGATGTTGGTTCTCTCCCAATTCTACCCTTTATATAGGTTAAACAAAAGTAGATACCCCATATCTCCTTCCTCAACCCTATTACTTACCGACTACTAACTGTCCAACTGTCTCCATCTGTATGTTTACCAAAATACCCCTGCTATACAAAACCCTCTCCCAGTCTGTAACAATACTCCCCCCAACTTTAACCTTGTCCTCAAGGTGAAATGAAAACAACACTGCTTCAAAAAATAATATGGAACGAACACTCAAAGGTGTAGAAGTCGCTACTGCTCCACGCTTGTTGATGCTTCTTAATCAGTTAATAAAGAGTTCCTTAAGAGAAAAACAACTTAGGAGATCTTTCCCAATTGAGACCACATTCTTGGTACTATGTTTTCTCGATGTCTGGAGTGTGGGTGGCTTTTCTCCAGTTTAATATATTGTGATGTTCTTCCTTTCCTCTAAGCCATCCTCCATTCTTTTGAACATTAGACCCACTATTCATAACTCCATTTAACTTGTTTTGGCCTAAGAGAGATAAACACATGGAGGTTTTAAAAAGTGAAGACTAGTGGAAATATGAAGTGGAACTCCCCGTTCCCCGACCCCCGTACACGATACCCAAATCCTTCACGAAGATATCAATCACCAAAAAACTATATACCCCTGTCCCTACTGAAATCTTGTTGCCGGAAACCTCAACACCAGCGTTTCATTCTTCATTTCCTTTGCTTTTTTACTTCAACCGTTGCCCTTTGTTTTTCCCGCTCTATTGCGGTCGCTTCCTATAGGCCATAACTTGCCGGTTCCTATCGCCAGTGAAGCCTTTTCTTCATGCTCTGCTGATTGCTTTTTGCAGAATTCACCGCCAATGGCATTGATTTGAGATCTTCTACCATTTTCTTGACCGTAGGAAACAAACTCCCTTTCTTCATCAAGATCTCCTATTCTAATACCAAATGATGCAAACCACTGTGCATTGTGACACCAGTTCGACAAAGAACACACAAAGAACTGTGGATTCATTGAGCGACCAACTTTCAAGAAGCTAGTTCTCTCCTAATTCTACCCTTTTACAGGTCAGAGAAAATAAGATACCCTATATCTCCTTACTCAGCTCCTACTACATATTTATAGTACCTTTCACTGACCTTCTACCTAACTACTAATCGAGAACTAACCGTCCATCTATCTCTCTCTTTATGTTTACCAAAATACCTTGTAGTGTACAAAGCCCTCTCCTTGTATGTAACAATAGTCACCCCCAACTTTCGCCTTGTCCTAAAGGTGAAATGAAAATAAACTACTTCAAATAATAATACGGTATGGATGCTCAGAGGTGTAGACATCACCTCTATTGCTTTGCCTTTGTTGATGCTTCTTAATCACTTAACGAGGAGTCTCTTGAGAGAAAAACAGCTAAAGAGTTCTTTCCCAATTGAGACCACATTCTGTATTGTCTTTTCTTGACGCATGGAGTGTGGATGGCTTTCCACATTTTAATATACTATGAAGTACGTCCCTTCCTCCAATTCACTCTCCATTCTTTTTGGCATTTGAACAAGAACCTTTGAGCATTTCGCAATCAATAGGAGTTTGATTTATGAGTCCAAATGAGCTAAAGAAAATAGTAATTTTGAACATTAGACTCATTGGTCTAAACTTCATTAACTTGTTTTGGCTTTAGAGAGATAAACACGTGGAGGTTTTAGGTGAAGGTTATTGGAAATGTGAAGTGGAACTCCCCTTCCGTATGACCTTTGTACCTATTGGAACCCTTGCACCTATTGGAATCCTTGTCGCACAAAGGATGTATTCCGACGAAATGCTATTGATTCTAGGACTATAATGAGGGGGTCCCTCTTGCACAACTCCCCCGAACAGCCCAGATCTGATTCACTTTCAGAACCTATTCGTCAATTCCTAAACTTAATAGCCATCGACACACTCTTTAACTATTATGGGGGTTAGGGGTTATCAAACTTTACCATTAAGCTAAAGAAACCCTCGACCTTGGCTTTTCGTTTTTCATTTTTCATTTTTTTACTTCAACCACCCCCCTGTTTTTCCGAGTCTCTCCCGTCAATTTCTTCTGATTGTTGGCCATAACTTGCCGGTTCTTACCTCCGGAGGACTCCTTGATTGTTGTATTTTCTGCTTTTCTTTTTGTATGTGAAGCCTTTCCTTCATGCTTTCTAGGATTATTTTTTTGGCAAAAATACACCCAAAGAACTTTTGATTCATTAACGGGTTTCGAGATGTTGATTCTCTCCTAATTCCTTGCCTAGTCTCCCAATTCGGTTAGTCTTGCCTAGTCTCCCAGTTTGGGAATCACATATGGTATCACAGCCCAGCCCCAGCTCTTGCCCTTTGTTAATCTTTACCCGTCTTCACCTTTCTATATGATTAGATTAGTATGCTCTGTGACTGCCGTCTATGCACGGATCTCTCACATTAGAAAACCATCCTAGAGAGAAGAGATTGAAGATATAAGCCAGAGATTCTGCTGATTTGCACTTTTTTGTTTCCATCTTCCTTGTTAGTAAAGTTCGTAAGTCGACGTAGAGAGAAGTCGCAGTCAGTCTCAACAACAGGATAGATAGAATAAGTAGTGCTAAACCAAGTCATGAATCTAGACCATAGCTTATCACGTTCTTCTTCTAATTTTAGACAGTCTTCTGTCTCTAAAATAGACCAATTATATGAAATTTCTTATGTCCCAGATGATTCTAGAATACCTATCACTAGTATGCCTTTAGTTAATCCCTATAATGTATTTTCTAAGCCCAATATTTCTTATTCAAGAAGGGTCAAAAAATTGACAGGATCCACCTCCCACGAGCAAATTAAGGAGTTTGTCCAAGCTTCTAAATTTGACTCCCACCAACTCCCAGCTACCACATCAGAACACTTAGTGACACTGTCCCTTCCAACAGACCTTCCTAGACACTGCATGGCTCAAGGATATACACATATCCACTTTGGAGCTATTAGACTGGCCCTTACTTTCCATGGTAGGAAAGGCCTCCCTGCATTTTCACGCATTGCTCTAGTAGACATAGGGTTTATAGAATATCAGCATGCCTGCATAGGAACAATCCAAACTACCCTAAATGCTGGAACCATCTTTGTCACTTTCTA